AAAACAAGGTGCTTTCATGGCCCAAACAAGCATTCAAGTGTTCTCGGTTCTAGGCTCGAACATAAGGGAGTTTTAGGGCCAAAACATGCACCAACACAAGAGTTTACGGCCATGCAAGGGTTTACGACCGTAAAATCTTGGTGTTCATGCATAATATGATGTTTCAAGGCTAGGGTTTATGTAATAAGCAAGCCGAACTATAAGATAGAAGTGGTATTCACGTTTTTGAAGCTTGTAAGGGGGTTCACGGTCCAAGAACAAGTATATGTTCTTGGTGAAAGTATTGAATACTTGAAGATCTAACCAAAAAGAATGATTCCATGGAAGAAATCAAAGGGTAATACAAGATCAAGAAGCATAACCACTAATAAAATGGAAAGATTGCTTACATTTTGGAAGATCAAGGTGAAAACTTGATGAATGTTGAGAGGAAATCTGATTTCCTGAGTTAGAGGTGGAAAAGGTGGTGAAGGAAGAAGGAATATCATACTTAAGGTGGTGAGTTCATGGCCAAGGAGGTGTTTACGGCCGTAAACTCCTTATGGTGGAATTTCCGGCTTGTATGTTGCACACTGAACTTTATACGATACTTCCTAACACTTTATCCTTTAAGGTACTAGGCTTAGAACACTCAAACAGACCCTTAACAAGGCTAAAAGATAACAAATGCAAGTCTAACTTTGATTGAGTTGAATGGATGTGCAAGATAGAAATTTCGGGTTGTCACACCTTGGATAACCCTAATTGAATATTATAATAATATCTCAAATATAGTAATTATCTAACTCCTTATTTATCAATAAGAAGTCATTCTAGAAACCTTAAGAGGCTTCTCAAAACTGCCCCCTCCCCCAGGAAGGTTCTAGAACATCTCTTTTTCAACTATTGAACAATTATAGCTTAGCCACTGCACTTTCAGTTAATTCTAATTTACCTAAAATTAATTCTAATTAAATTATGATTAACTCTTAATTAATTATTAACATTTCAAATTAATATAGTAATCATATAATATATTAATAAATCTTTTATTTCAGTTTGTAATTAATTTGATAAATTAATTAATCAATCAATCAATCTCTCTCTCTCTCTCTCTCTCTCTCTCTAAAAGTCATTATATTCAGTTACTGATTATGAGGGCAACCCAAAAAGGACTTTGCTTCGAATTCAAGAATATACCAATTTAGTTACTGGCTTAGTATTTCGAGATCTCATCGGCTTATGGTTTCATGTGTTGAATCATAAGTCTTTTTTATTAGAAGAAAAATGGAAAGAGTCGATAGATGCGTGTAATATATCACAGACAATGATATACCCATTGGCACATATTTTCAATCTCTCATCAGCGTATGATACATTAAGCTGAATCATAAAACTTTAAAAAAGAATGTAAGGCTAATAATAGATTGTTTCGGTCATGCTGAGGTGAAATCAGCATGGATCATTAACAATTTAACTCATCAAGAAGGAGTTGTTTAAACTTCTGTATCATAGAGTAAGTTGCAATCTTGAATAAAAGATTCATCATTAATTCATAATGGCACCATGTCTACCTCAAACAAGGAAGTCGGGGACATGAACAACCCTTTGTCATTTAAGGACCTGATAAGTATCTCTTATGTTGATGACTATGCAATCAAGGTAAGCCATTGGGTTATGTTCAATGTTTCAGTAGAACATGAGACCTGATGCATACAAAAGCATGCTTCCAGGGACAGGGTCCAGTAAAGATGATTAACATAAAAATAATAAACACCCCAGAATTTTATCAATATTTTTCATTTCGACCAGGCTTTTTCACTTTTTAGAGTTTAGACAATGCTAGACAATCAACGTGAGAGAGTGACTTAATGTTTTCAGCAGATGGTCTCAGTGATGAGAGACTTAGAGAGATTTAGTCACATACAATAACATGCTTTTAGGGATGATGATGTGTCATAAGTTGCATACTAGGCTCAAATTGCCACCATCAGTTTCCTTTTATATATAATGGTACCAAAGAATGATATAAGAATACAAAAGTGTATTAGACATAACAAAAGTTTGCTGCAATGTTCATGAGTGCTTATGAATAAGATTTGAGCATTGGATTACACCTGCACTTGTTGGCATCACTTCATGGAATTTATCTCGAGTGATTGCAAGACGATAATATCATATGGTCTTAAAACCAAGATATATGGTTTATTGTTTGCAAGTTGGTTGTGTATTGATAATGCGTAAACGCATCAGTAACTTGATGTTATAAAACACATTGTTGTGCATGATTTGATGAGTGAATAGTAAATGCATATAAGTCGAAGTTTATCTGTTCCTTTTATCCTAAGAGGGTAAAAGCGAAGTTTGGGCCCCTCGATGATTTGGTTTGACTTATGTGTCGGGCCCGATCAGGACTGAATTGATGTGTTCAATTAACTTCTATGTCAAAAAAATCAGAGATCAATAAACAAACTGCTGGACAATAAGTATGACTATGTTCCATGTAATTTTCCGCACGATATCTAGAACGGAGGACTATATGATCCCTTATCTAAAGGACATGTTACTGATAAGATCAGAGTTCGATAGTGTCTTTGAGAGCTACGATTGCTAATTGGACAATACTTGCATTTCTAGTTACTAGACTTATCCAAGTGGGCGACTGTTGGATTAGTGTCTAAGCTCGTAACTATATTTGGTAAGTACTTGACTTGGTTGTGCATGGTCCTTTTGGGTTGCCTTCACCAAAACAACTTGACAGGATGATTTATGGAGAGAGAGAGAGAGAGAGAGAGAGAGAGATTATTATAGTTTAATTAATATTAGTCAAGAATTAATTAAGAATTACTTTTGTGGCTAAAAAAGATTAATTAATTAAAGGGGACGGGAACTGTCAATTGTGTGATAGTTGATTTTGGGTTGAGAATCCTTAAGGTTTAGGGCATAGACAAAATTAAGGTGGAGTCCATCTTAAATTGGTCCAAGGAGGCCTTATTCCAAAAGGTTCTCAAGCTGCTTAGGGCCTACGTCATCCAATTAGGGTTTTGACTGAAACCCTAGCAGCACAAGTATATAAGGACCCATAGGGCTAGCAAAATCGGCCACTTGATCCCTGGGAAGCTTGGAGCCGATTTTTTCCCCTCATCCTCTCTCCTAAACATCATCCTCTTGCTTGCGGTGTTTGTAAGCCACTAGAGGTGTTACACTTGTGACACTAAACTTCTTGAAGATCAAAGGATTCTTGCAACTATTGAAAGGTATCATCTAAACTTGTTATATTGTAGATCTCATTTTTGATAGTATGCTAGATTAGGGTTTCGAGTCTTCGATGAATTGCATGTATAATAGTGAAACCTAGATCCAAGCATTTAGGGTTTTGCATGAGCACATATGATTGTTCTTTTGTATAAAACCCATCACATCTTTGTTTTGTGTTGCTGCTATATCGATGACACCAACTATATTGTCGGCAACCTATTGTCTACATTTGGTAGGGGTGTTCACGGGGCGGTTCGATTTGGATAGTAATAAAATTATGAACCGTGAGCACGGGGCGAGTACTTCACATGCACCAACAGAAACCGAACCGAATTGCTTACAAAAATGAACCGAACCGAACCGTATAAACACGGGTAACCACGGTTCGGTTCACGGGTAACCGTTAAATGTAAATATTCACTAAAACTATAAACCAATTATATATTCAAAAATATTGTTAAACTATTTTATAAACCAATTATATATTAAAAAATAATTGTTAAACTGTTTTGTAAATTTAATGTGACTTTCTGTTGATGTTGAATTTTGTTTCGAACCTCTGCGGATGTTGAATTTTGGATGGATCCTTTATATCATGAAACAGTGAATAAATTAAATGGCTTAGGAATAAGGGTTAACTTGAAACAATTAGAACATGGTGATGATGTTCCTGTTTTTCTATTCAATATATATATATATATATATATATATATATATATATATATATATATATATATATATATATATATATATATATATAACAATTAGAACATGGTGATGATGTTCATGTTTTTCTATTCTATATATATATATATATATATATATATATATATATATATATATATATATATATATATATATATATATATAGAGGTTCGGTATCCGCGGATATCAAAATATAAAAACCGAAACTGAACCGTAGATACCCGGTTTTTTCGGTTTCGGATTACCGTATCCGCTCGGTTTTTTGATTTTACGGTTTTTTTGCACACCCTAACATTTGGTGCGCCATTATACCCGACATTGCCACTAAAGGCATGGATGCTAACTTAGTTAACCTAATATGTGATTGTTTATGCAATAACCTTGTATGTTGATTAAATGTCTTGATCCAATGGCTGTCATCTATCTATCCTGGAATTTGTTTGTACACACCTATTTGTAGAGACCTCATTAGAGGGAATAAGTTGTTGCCGCTAAATCCTAAATCAATTAGATATTTCTTTTAGCCTTTTTTATTGATTATTTGATATGATTTCCCTTCTATTTGTTCTCCGGCAACTCCACCGTTCCTTTGCTATTCTTATGCGATGAAGACCAAGCAATATCACAATGCCACCAACCGTCACACCACCAACCACCACCAGTTTAAACCACCACAACAACAAACTACGTCTATTCTCTCTCTACATATCTGTTTTCACCATTGTTTTCCCTCTATATCCGATGATTCCAACGATAAAATGCCTATTTCGGCGACCTAGACCGAACAACACCATCGATGACCTTAAATATCTTCAAATATAAAAAAGTTAACTATCAATGTCTATGAGCATTATGGTTGCATTTTTTTTGCTTAATTGTTAATCTAAATTCTTAAATATCTTCAAATATAAAAATAGTTATATATATATATATATATATATATATATATATATATATATATATATATATATATTTTATGTGATTTGCTCTAAAATTTTAAAAACTAAAATCGTGTTAAAATAAAATAAAATCTCTAACAAATTAACACAATCCAAGAACACAAACTTTGCATAAAACCAAAACACAAACCCAAGCCACGTGCATTACACGCGTCTCTCCAAATTCAACATCTTCCTCCACAAACAAAACCTTCCCCAATTTTTACTCACACTTGTTACCTACTGAATTCCCTGATCTATTCTAGCTTTACTTCATCCAACAGAAACCCTGAAATCGCACAATTCATACACTGCAAAGCTGGAGCAGTTGAAGACGATCGGTAGGGAGCTCGCAATGGGCTCCCAGGGTGGCTTCGGCCAGTCGAAGGAGTTTCTGGACCTCGTCAAATCAATCGGAGAAGCCCGATCCAAATCCGAAGAAGACCGTATAGTCCTCCATGAGATCGAGATGCTAAAACGCCGAATCAACGAGCCGGATATCCCCAAAAGGAAGATGAAGGAGTATATCATCCGTCTTGTGTACATCGAGATGCTTGGTCATGATGCTTCTTTCGGGTACATTCATGCCGTTAAGATGACACACGATGATTCACTTCTACTGAAACGAACTGGTTATTTGGCTGTCACGCTGTTTCTGAATGAGGATCATGATTTGATTATATTGATTGTGAATACGATCCAGAAGGACTTGAAATCAGATAATTATTTGGTCGTTTGTGCTGCTTTGAATGCTGTTTGTAAGTTGATTAACGAGGAGACTATACCTGCTGTGATTCAGCAAGTGGTTGAGTTGTTAGGGCACCCAAAAGAGGGGGTTAGGAAGAAGGCTGTGATGGCGCTGCATAGCTTTTATCAGAGATCTCCATCCTCTGTCAATCATCTTGTATCCCACTTCCGGAAGGTTAGTGTTTTTTAATTATACAGACTTTCTGCTTGTAGAATAGAAACTTTAGCAATAGCAGCATTACTGAAAGCATTAAATCTGATACTTTGCTTTAAGAATTTGAAGCTTGTTTAGTTCAATACGATTTGCCTTGAATTGATATGCGCATACACTCTACCCCTTCTTGATAGTATGGTTTAAGTAAATCTTTTGTTCTTTGAATTACTTCTTCCTTAAGAACATTGCTTTGGACCCTTCCAATATTGAGGTGAAATTTCCCTGCTTCTAATGATATTTTATATGCTCTGCATTAATTCGATAGTTTCATCTTTTATGGTCAATTTACCTCAAAAAACTTCATCAAGCTAGTTAAATTAGCAGAATTTATACATGATTTTGCTCTTCAACTTTACTTGAAAAGAATCCATACAATTTTATCAGTCTGTTGAGTGAAAGGACAAAAGATGTCTATGAATGGAATCAACTGAATTTTGTGATGCATTTTGCATATTTCCTCTCAGTTTTTTATTGGATACATTCCATTGACTAATCTTAAGAGTTCATACTTTGTCAATATCAATATCTTCTGATCCTCAGACTTGTACATAATCTATTTTGCAGAAACTTTGTGATAATGACCCTGGTGTCATGGGTGCTACACTTTGCCCTCTATATGATCTTATCACCATAGATGTAAATTTATACAAGGATTTAGTTGTAAGCTTTGTGAACATTCTTAAACAAGTTGCAGAGCGCAGATTGCCAAAAAGTTATGACTATCATCAGACACCTGCTCCATTCATACAGGTATGCTTCTTCAAGTATTGCATACATATATACAATTAACCTACTTCAAAGAACATATTATAACTCCTTCTATCTTAAAAATCCAACACTTCCCTTTTTAGACTGTTTCTTATAGAATGAAATTTTTTCTGTTTTGTAACTTTTCAATGCCACTTTACTTTTTTGCCCAACAGTAATTATCACTTGAAACCAGTGACTATGATTTTGGTTCACAAGTTTTCTTTACTTTTATTTTTTATTTAGGTCTTTTTAAACATATCTTTACTAGGATTGCTTCTAGATATGCACCATTCTATGCTTTCTTCACAGGAAAAGTTTCATAAACAATGGAAAGTTTAACAAAAATGGTTTTAGGATTTAGATAAAATTGAAGCCAAAACAAATTATTCTAATCAATTTAATAAGTTGGTTAAAAAGAGTTTTGAAACTTTACCTCATGTATTCTATATTCTTATTCTGACGGTTTATGGTTACATCCATTTCAACCGTTGAATTTATGCTGCATGTGAAGAAAACCAATTATTCTAATCAATTTTCTAATATAGTTAATAACTGTTTTTTAAACTTCTTAATAGAAAAATTGCCAAAAGGTGAATGGAACAAAATAATCCCTTGATAATAATGGTTATAAAGTTACTAAATCATGTCATGTTTCTACTTTCTAGCTGCAAATATATGGTTTCACTATTACATAGCATTTTGAAACATAGAGATTCTAGTTCTAAATCAATGCATGCTTTTGGTATTCATTTTAGTACAATCATTTATAGAAGAAGTAAATTATTAACAAGTAAAAGTTGTATTGTAGACACCATTCTATTGATTCAGCCACTTGATCATTTTCTTTAATGATTAACCCTTACACCTTTTTTTAATCTTCTAGAAAAACCATTTTCTTGGAATTGGGTATTTGAAAAAGTTCAAATATAGAAAAAAAAACACACAACATACTTTGATCATTTTATCTATATAGCAACTCAACAATTAGGTTTTGTATGATTAGTATTACAATAGTTCAGGGCTAAATCGATAAAATAGTGAAAAAACAACACAATACAACTTATATTCCTGATAGACTTTGGATTACTGAGATCTTCACCTAAATTTCAAACTTTCTTGATGCTAACAATTAAAAGTTATAACATGATTATTAAATTATTTGAATATACAGATTAAGTTGCTAAAAACTTTAGCATTACTGGGTAGTGGTGACAAAAAATCAAGTGAACAAATGTACACAGTGATTGGAGACATAATGAGGAAAAGTGACACAACAAGTAACATAGGAAATGCTATTCTTTATGAATGCATATGTTGTATCTCATCAATACAACCTAGCCCTAAGTTATTGGAAACAGCAGCTGATGCCATTGCTAAATTCCTCAAGGTATCAGTTTATTTCTCTACTTAAAGAACTTTAAAAGTTTTTGTTTTTATATGAAAATGTAATTTGCATTTTTTTTTTTTTTTTTTTTTTTTGTGCATTTGTAGAGTGATAGTCATAATTTGAAGTACATGGGTATTGATGCTCTTGGAAGATTGATAAGAATAAGTCCAGATATTGCTGAACAACATCAACTTGCTGTTATTGATTGCTTAGAGGTGAGTTGGATTGAATTCACTTAGTTATGCTTTTTTTTTTTGTGATTAAATGATTTAAATCTTTATATTTTATTTAGACTGTTTAAAATAACCATTTTTATTGATTTACTCTTTGTGTAGTGATTAAGCCATATTATACTTATATGGACTGTTTTTTAAAGAACAAAATTTTCCTTGTTACCCTGTTTTGAAAAGGTTTAATGTACAAAGAGCACAATGTACTTTCTTAATTTTATCAGTTTTTTCATTAAACTATTAATTTTTAGGGTTAATCTCAAAAAAAAACCATTATATTTTGTGTTTTTTCCAGATTAAACCTCAAAAAAAGAAAATTGCCTGAAAAAAACCTTGTATTTTTTCATTTTTCCCGAAAAAGCCCTCGACTTTGTATTTTTTTTCAGAAAAAAACCTTCAACCTTCTAAATGCTTCCAAATAAACTCTCAACTTTTTTAGTTTTTCTCGAAAAAACCCTCACATTTTACAATTTTTTTTGGCAAAAAATGACCAAAAGGGCCAAATCTAAAAAAAAACGTTATTTTTTGTTTTTTTTCCGGATTAAACCTCAAATTTTTTTTTTTTTGCCAGAAAAAAAGCGTTGAATTTTTTCATTTTTCCCGAAAAAGCCCTCAACTTTGTATTTTTTTTTTCCGAAAAAAAACCTTCAACTTTCTAAATGCTTCCAAATAAACCCTCAACTTTTTTAGTTTTTCTCAAAAAAGTCCTCACATTTTACAATTTTTTGGCAAAAAACTAAAAGAGCCAAATCGGGAAAAATGAAAAAATATAAAGTTTTTTCAGGCAATTATCTTTTTTTGAGGTTTAATCCAGAAAAAACACAAAATATAAGGGGATTTTTTTTTTTTTTTTTTTTTTTTTTAACCCTAGTTTTTATTGATTTGCCTTACCCACTGTACTGTTATTATATTATTAATCATTAAAAAAAAGTATTGTGCTTTTATAACATATACATATTGAGTTTGCATTCATTTTTTAACACAGGACCCTGATGACACTCTAAAGAGGAAAACTTTTGAGCTTTTATATAAAATGACGAAATCGTCCAATGTGGAAGTGATAGTTGACCGAATGATTGACTACATGATTAGCATTAATGATAGTCATTACAAAACCGAAACAGCATCCAGATGTGTGGAGCTTGCAGAGCAGTTTGCTCCCAGTAACCATTGGTTTATCCAGGTTTAAATAACACATACACATTAATTTTATTTCCAATTTCCAATTTTTATAAATCACTTTTTCATTTTTAATAATAATTTTCTATCTTTCAGACCATGAACAAAGTGTTCCAACATGCTGGGGATCTGGTGAACCCTAAGGTGGCTCATAACTTGATGAGATTGATTGCTGAAGGCTTTGGTGAAGATGATGAGTCAGCAGACAGTCAGCTCAGATCATCTGCTGTATGTAACTCATAATAAAGAAAGATTACCGTTTCAATAGTGAAAACTCATTTTTATTTATTTCAATATTATAGAAAGAGGGTATTTTGGTCTTTTTATACAGAAACAAAGAATAGAAATAAATCAGTAAAAGGAATGGTGAAATCTATAAAACATGGAATTTGGAGGAATATGATGGAAACCAATTTCATCCATTTGCCAATGAAACACACAATGGAATGGAATCTTGGATTCCAATTCCGTTTTGTAATGGTTTTAATGTTTTTGGGTGCAGGTGGAATCTTACCTTAAAATAGTTGATGAGCCAAAGCTTCCATCTGCATTTCTTCAGGTAACTTTTCGTTTATATAATGTGAAAATCGTTTGTGTTTTTTATCTTATATTTTAGTTTTTTTTTTTTAAAAAAAAAAAAAAAAAAAAAACAGGTGATATGTTGGGTGTTGGGTGAATATGGAACTGCAGATGGTAAATATTCTGCTTCCTATATTAGTGGCAAGCTATGTGACGTGGCAGAAGCACATTCAAGTGATGACATAGTTAAGGTATGCTCATGCTTATGATTTTTTATTTTTTATTTTTTATAATCTTATTTAGTTTTTTTATGAGCATTCATTATATTTTCTACATTTTTTAAAGGCATATGCAGTGTCAGCACTTATGAAAGTATATTGTTTTGAAAAAGCCGCTGGAAGAAAATTCGATCTGTTACCAGAGGTCAGTAAACAATATCAATATCCCACATTTTATTATATTTATTATTTATTTTTTAATTCTATTATCATTGCAGTGTCATACATTACTTGAAGAAATGTCAGCATCTCACTCATCTGATCTCCAGCAACGTGCATATGAATTCCAAGCAATTCTTGACCTCGACTCCAATTCCATTGATAATATAATGCCACTTGATGCAAGCTGTGAAGACATTGAAGTAATCTCTCTCTCTTTTTAAATTCTAAATAAAAAAACATTTTAATATTCTTCTTCTAATTTTTTTTTTTTAAAATAAATTCCTACTACAGATCGATAAGACCTTATCGTTTCTCAATACTTATGTCCACAAATCCTTAGAAGAAGGAGCCGAACCATATATCCCCGAAAACCAACGTTCCGGAACCTTAACCGTCATTCCCAACATCCCATACGACACCTCATCTCACTCTCTTAGGTTTGAGGCGTACGAGGTTCCAAAACCCGTGGTCCCCACAAGACCACCACCCCCAACAACCACCACCTACCCAACCGACCTCGTACCCGTATCCGTATCCTTACCCGAACCCTCCTACCACCAACCGGCCCGGTTCTCCGGACCCGTACCCGACCCGAGTCCTACCGACCTCCGGTTACGCCTCGATGGGGTCCAGAAAAAATGGGGAAAACCTTCTTACACGTCATCCGCCACGTCATCGTCCACCTCAAACTTTGACTTTAACAGAACCACAGTCAACGGGCCCACACAACCCGATAACGTGGTGGTCCCGAAGGCGCGCGAGTCGAGACATGTCGAGGTTTCGGAAGAAAAACAAAAACTCGCGGCGTCACTTTTCGGCGGGACGTCTTCGTCTTCGCGGTTGGAAAAGAAACAACCGGTGGCGGCAACTGCCAGTAGTAAGCGGCCTGCTACCGCGGTGGTGGCGGCGGCACCGCCGCCACCGCCGGATTTGCTGGATTTAGGTGAAATGAGCGGGTATTCGATGGTTGTGGATCCGTTTAAACAATTGGAAGGTCTTCTTGATGTGAGTCAAGATGGGAGTACTTCTTCTTCTTCTTTGACTATACCTACAAATGGGCATAATCAGAATTTGATGATGATAAATGAAAAAGACGAATTTACCCCTGTGAACGGGTCGCCTAATGTAAGCAATAAAACGACGGCGACATTGACTAAGGGTCCGAGTTTGAAAGATGCGTTGGACAAAGATGCACTTGTGAGACAAATGGGTGTAAACCCAACAAGCCAGAATCCTAATTTATTTAGTGATTTGCTGAGTTGATTAGTTTTTTTTTTTTTTTTTTTTTTTTTTTTTTTTTTGGTGTTTTAAAATATTTGGTGTTTGATTGTTATATTGCTGTGTATTATTAAGATTCATCTGTGTTTTTAAAACTTTTTATTTTGGTTATTGGGAGAGGAGTTGGTGTATTGTTTGGGGGAAATATGTTTTTTTTTGGTTTGTATGGTGTACATTTTGCCTTAATGCATCCATTGAAGAATTGTAATAATGATATGCAGAAGTCTGTGAATCTGTAGGTTGAGTATTACATATAATACTAATCTAGAGATGAAACATATTGGAAGACTTTAATACTCATCTTGATTTTTGAACTTTGTTATCTTTATCATCGTTTCAAACCTTCAAACTTTGTCAAAAGTTGAGTTGATATATTCTGATGTAGATTAAAATGCTATAATTTATCTACAACTGAAAATTCCTTGGTAGATCTGTTGGTTACTTCATTGTATTGAGATTTGGGAGAACGGATGGGTAAAGTTGTGATTTGTGGGGAACTAGGAAATCATACACGTATTACATAAAATATTGTCTTATTGTAAAAGTTGTATCTTGATATGAGCTTATTAAAACGTTTTAAGAATTTATTTACAACGGACTATTAATTAAGTAGCGAAGTTATTTGTTATTTTTAAGTTTGACAGAATGTGAAAAATAATTTAAAGTAGAATTTCTAGCCTTCTACATGTAAGCCCAATAATAAGATGACATTATGGTTTTTAAGATTCCGAATTAGATCTATGACCTACAAATAAAAATTGATCCCAATTAGACTACGATATATCTAAAATAAGATTTATATTGAGATATTAGGAGCCTAACATGGCTCTTTAGATCTCAATCTGATCCATTCCCACATCTTTTATCTTTATTGTGTAGTCGAGATTTAAAAACTCGTTCATTCAATTTGGATTCATAGATGAAGCATCACAGGTAGCTAGAAACGTCATAAAGCATCTCTATTTTATCCGTTCATTTTGAATGAGGTCAGAGTATTTTGAAACTTGTGATATTTTGTTTGTCATAGTCTGCCTTTAGTTGAACATGATTACAATGATCTTGTTTCTTTTACCGATTAAGATGAAATTTCTTCATTTTTTTTTGTAGTTTGCAGCATCCAAAATTATGATTTATACTTAAAAAGTTAAAGTTAATTGCATCATTGATGACTTATAAACATCACATTATAACAATGCCTAATGCACACACACAAGAACTGAAATGTAAATTTGGAAACTTGTTCCTTTTAGTAGGATATCTTGATCCCAATCGAATCTCACTTATGATTGTAATTTTGCAAACATGACAAAAGTAATACTCGGTATTGTATTTCGGACTTGATAGATCAAACCGACAAATGATATTGATAATTATATAGTTGTGAATAATAAATTCAATTATTATTAATTACCGAGTTTTGTGCAAAAAAACCATATTGATCCTACACGATCAAATATGATAAGAAAGATAGAAGAAGATTGTCCCGTTATCAAATGGATTAAAATACAAAATAGTAAAATTAAAACTAACATCATATTTATTGATCTTGACTGTATGAAATAAGTTACCGTCTTTAATTCTTTTATTCTGCTCTAAGGCTGCAAGTTCCGGTGTAAATCCATGATTTGATGCATAATATCATTCTTTCCAGCAATTATGGAAGAAATGATAAACACAAAGTTGATTACGAAGAAAAATGGAAGAATTGAAATCTTGCTGTCGCAAAACCACAAATGGAGTGATGAGATATTGAATGATTTGGGGTGTGGAATACAACTCTACGGGAATTGTATATATAGTAGCAGAAACCTAGAAGAATATCAAAAAACTATGATGAGTGATGATGGCTATCCTACCACGGTATGCCACGTGTCATGCGCCTATCTAGGTAGAAACTCAAGATGCGGTGCCTTGCTTGACGCCTCTAGTGCCTAATCTCATAACTAAATTGGTATCTACTTGTAACTAAAAACAAAGTTATTTTTGGATTGCTCTCATAACCAGAACCCGGTTAGAATGACATTTGTGGAGAGAGGATAATTTATTAGTTAATTATATGATTAATAAATTGTAATAAATGATTTGTTAATATATTATATGATTAATATATTAATTAGAAATAATAATAAAACATTAAAAATTAATAAAAATGAATTGGAATTAATTTGGGGATGAATTAGAACTAATTAAAGGTGTAGATAGTGAGTTATATTTGTTTAAAAGTTGAACAAGAGAATGATTCCAAAACCTTCCTTAGGTGGCCGGTTTTTGGAGACCCTATAAGGGTTTTTGGAAGCATCCATTTGGATAATTAGAAACTAAATAATTATCTAATTTGAAATATTACTATTATATGTTCAAATTAGGGTTTCTAGGGTTTCACGATCAACTATAAATAAGATCCTTAGCCTAAGCATTTTCGTCCACTCCTCCCAGAAGAATAGCCGAAATTTGCATCAATTCTCTTCTATCCTCTTGTCTTCTAGTTGTAGGGGTTAGGTACAAGCCATTTGAGAACTCATCTTTTGGTGCTAAGCTTTCCAAGAACAATAACTACAATGGATTGAAGTGATTTGTTTACTACAACAAATCAAATGTATGTAACCCTAATTATTGTATTTGGATTATACTAGGGTTTCATTAGGGTTTTGTTGTTCACTGTATGTTGCCTTCAAAGTGTTATGACATAGATCTTTATAGGTTGCATGTGCCCTTTAATTGTTAAATGATTTTTTGCATGTACATGTATTTATAGATGATTAAAGGATAATAGGATAAGTATTCGTCGACGATAAATAAATGTTTTCAATAGAATATTATTTAGAGAAAATAATCCAAACGAAAGTCATAATAGTCGTTAAACTGAGAGCGTGCATGTAACACCCAGAATTAGAAACACCAAGAAAAGAAAGGAAAGGCTCTAAGTTAATAGTCAACTCATCGAGTCCAAAGAGGAACTCGACGAGTCGGAGCGGGATCCGGGATATAAAGTAAGTGACCGACTCGACGAGTCGGCTAGTGGACTCGACGAGTCTGGTCTGGATGAGGAAAACCCTAATACCGGGGGTTGTGCCCTATTTAAAGAACATCACATCCCTTCCCTAGCCTCTCTACTTCCCTTTTGAGATCCAGAAACCCTAAATCGTGAGTGAGAGCCCTTATGAGCAATTTGGAGCTTAGATAAAGGAGTTTTGTGAAGAGATATTGAAGCTCAAGAAGCTTGGAGCAAGGGGCTTTGTAGAGAGTTGGATTATTCTTCAGTAAGAGGTCACCCTTAAGGTAATAAGCTGTTGCTTTGGCTTTATTGCAATTAGATCTATTTTTGAATGAGATTTTGGGGCTATGTTGGGAAGATTGAGACCCATCTCGGGTTTGGGACTTAGATCTGAGGTTGCTACTTCAGATCTAGGGTTGTGATGGTCCAGAATGTCTTAAAGCTGAAGTCAATAAGTTATTGGTAAAGCCCATTTGTCTTAAACCCTAGCCCTAGAGTGTTTTGGGCCTTTAGCTCCTTGGTTTCACGTAAAGGTTGCAACTTTATGTGGGGGATAGACTATAGAAGAGTGGATCTATGGATTGGAGCCCCTGCATGGCCCGAAAAGCCACTGTATGGATTAAGAATGGGAGAGACTCAACAAGTCACGTGGGTGTACGACGAGTTGTATGAACTTGTGCATGGACTCGACGAGTTGGAAGAACAACTCGGCGAGTCTGTTGAAGATTTCCTAGGACTCGGTGAGTCTGTTCTTGGACTCGATGAGTCAGATTGCAGAACGCCAACCTCTTCTGGTTAAGACACAGATCAGTGAGTTGAGTGGTGACTCAGTGAGTTGGACAGGATGGGACTCAGAGATCGTTGAACTCGACGAGTCTTGGGGTGACTCGGCGAGTTGGGTCGTATTTTGAGAGCTTCCGAGTTTAAGGACTCGACGAGTCTATGGGTTGACTCGGCGAGTCGAGTCAACTGGAAGATTGACTTTGACCAGGAGTTTGACTTTGACTAGAGTTGACTTAGTTTGACTTCTAGAGTTCAGTTTGGAAGTAAGTGTTATGTTGATATTAGTAGCTAGTGGAGCAACGGTTTAGAGAGTTGTCGGTCAGCAGCTAGAGGATTATCAGCAAAGTTCAACAGTGCGAGGTGAGTCTCCTCAATGTTTGTATGGGTCTACTGCCACAACGCAACCCATTTAGTCTATGTATGACAGGAAGACCTGAGGGTTAGCCGTAGGCAATATGTATGAAAGACCAGGAGGCGGCTCCTGGAACACCGTATGTTATTATGTATGATAGGAAGACCCGGGGGTTAGCCCTAGGCAATATGTATGAAAGACCAGGAGGTGGCTCCTGGCGCACTATATGCTATTGTGTATGAAAAACCAGGAGGTGGCTCCTGGAACACTATATGCGGAGTAGCCTAATAGAGTAGTATGTATAGCTGTCTTTGTGATACTTGCATAAAAGACCAGGGGGTGTCCCTTGGCACTTGTCTGTAAGACCCAGGGAGTGGCCCCGGGCTTGACGAGGAAGACCACGTGCGACCCGTGGCATAACCACAAGACTATGTTTGGCACATAGCACCTTAGCAAGACTATGTTTGGCATATAGCACTTTACTTGATTATGGATATGTTGGTTATGTATGGTTCTTGGCTATGTATGACATGTATGGATCAGTTGGTTTGTATGGTATGTGGTATCTGGGGAACTCACTAAGCTTCGTGCTTACGGTTTTCAGTTTTGGTTTCAGGTATTTTGTTTTCAAGGTAAGGAGTCATCTCGATCGCAGTGCATCACACTATGTTTCCCGCACATGAGATCTTTGGGATTACACTCTGATATAGTTTTATGATAATATGTTTTGATTACTGACACCTTGGTTTGTCATGAGATATTATAATGAATGTTTTTGTACTGATGGTTTTATGTAATATCTTAGTAAAAAAATGAAATTTTTTTGCCTTGAATTTTGGGATGTTACAAGTTGGTATCA